AAAATATCCAGGAATAGGGCCGGCCCGGTGGCGCACTGGAGAGTGCGCCGCTTGGGAGTGCGGCGGCGCTCCCGCTGAGGGTTCGGATCCCATGTGGAGACCGGTTCCCGCTCACTGGCTGAGCGTGGTGCGGGCGCAACACCGAGGGTTGCGATCCCGTTACCGGTCAGTAAAAAAGACAAAAAGGAAAAAAAAAAAGAATATCAGAAATCTAGGCTGACCCTGTGGCTCACTTGGGAGAGTGCAGCACTGGGAGCGCAGCGGCGGAGCGCCGAGGCCACGGGTTCGAATCCTATATGGGAATGGCTGGTGTGCTCACTGGCTGAGCGTGGTGCGGGTGACACCAAGCCAAGGGTTATGAATCCCTTACCAGTCACCAAAAAAAAGAATATCAGAAATCTTAATGCCTGGAAGCTTTTTGGTTCCAGAGTCCGATATAAGACATCTTTTCTATATCTATAGTGGTTGAACAAAGTAGAGGAAAGACTACAGAAATCCAGAAAGTATTATGCCCTTTATCTGAACAGAGAGAGAAACATAAACACGGATATAAACGAAAGAAAAAGGGGCAAATTGCAAGAGGAAGAGTAGTGATATAAGTACCACCAAGGCTCACTGGATTTACCACACCCTTTGACATTTGTAGGATTTGAGGTTCATACTTTTTTTAAGCTATATTTTTGCACTAGGACTTAAGTCCCATCTTATCTGCATCCCAAACTTAACTCATGATCTAGATTTTTTCCTCCATTTCATGATAGACTTTAATTCATAAGCAGATTCTAGGCTGTGGTAGTATTTGAGGCTAGAAAAAAGTCAGATGAATTGTTTCCCGCAGGATGGAGAGACATGGGTAGGACGGACAAGTGCAGGTGATCAACAGAGTGAAAACCGTTAGTTACGAAAGACAGAACACTCTGCAGCAGTTCTCACCTGGAGTGAGGCGAAACACAGTATCAGACGCAGATTGGGATGTGAGCAATTAAAAGTTAAAATACTGAAATTTGGGAATCTGATTTACAGAGAAACACCACGGTTGCTGTTACTGATGGGAGTGTGTAGGAAATACGAGTATAAACTCTTTCTTTTGGGTATGTCACAACAGCTGACATGAGTCAGTCCAGGGGAAATGGAAATGCCCTGGTGTGATGCACATTACCTGCTCTCAATGTTCACCTACTGTCACTCTGCCCTCTGCAGTATATCCTTCAAAACTACAGACAGCAAAAAATGACAAGGAACTGCCATAGCTGAAATTCTGCAACCCAAATACAGTGTGTATTTATGTACCAAAGGAAGCTGACATTGTGATATAGAAAAGCACAGAATAAAACACAATAAACAAACGAACAAAGACAAAGAAAGTCTGAAGCGTTTACAAAGGTGATTGATTCTGTTATGTCTCTGAGCACAGAAACAATACAACTGTAAGAATACTGGCTGTGTACCATTTTTTCATTCATTTGCAGAGTCCTTGTGTACATGCATGAAAAGATAGAGGATGAGATTTATTAAACAAGCTGTGTTATCCCTATTTCCTTGCAAGTCTGCCTTACCAAACGTTCATGTGGATGCAGGCTACAGTAGCTGCTAGACTGTGGAATATGAGAAGAATTGCCCAACATTCCTCCGTAGCCAGGCTGATTCATCCCACTGGAGGAGCTCCAAGGGTCACTGCTGTGATGGCCATCTGGAAAGGACAAAGAAAACCATGACTTTTCTGAGGCATTCAGCCTTGCCTTATAGAATAGGGTTTTTTCATATACTTGAAAATGACTGCCTGTTGTGTATTCATCTTTGTGTTGGTTAGCAGATTACATCAGAAGATAGTCATCATTATTTTTTCCCAAGTGGCTCTATATTATCAAACAAATATAAGCATTTAACAAAGTTACACTGTTCTTAGTAAAAATACAACTGTAAAAGAACAACAGAGCATGTTTCTTCATGGAATTCTGCCAAGTCAGCAAGGTAACGCATGCTAAAGGAAACATTCCTTTGAAGTCAGATGACAACTGTCTTTGGATATCTTCCACCTTAACTGCATAATATTTCAAGTTCTGAATTCTCAGGGCACCATGTATCTCTCTACTGACCCCTTTTCTATGAAAACCAACTAAAAAGTTAAATTGTTTCTAGATTTTGGGTTGAAAATAAAATATTTGAGACATTACAGAGTTGATGAGTTTACAAATTTTAAAAGCACAAAGCAATAAGTAATAATAAAAAAGACCACCTCAGATTTAAAAGGTTGGATTTCATTTCTGTAACATACACAGCAGGTAGAATTAAAGTTGGAATTATAATACGGTTTGTGGGGAAGAGGAGTGTCAAATATAGTATATAGTTCTTAGGCTGTTTTATTTTTATTTTTGGGTACATAGGTATATGAGTATAGCTATCTTAAACCTTCAGTAGCAATTCAAAGAGTACATACATACCATAAGGTGGATATTATGCAACATACAATTTTGAGAGCCTCTTGGTTTTATAAAACTATTTATGATGAGTTAAAAAGAGTGGGCTGGCTGGTTAGCTCAGTTGGTTAGAGTATGGGGTATTATAATAGGGTGTTATATGTAGTTTGGATTCCCGCATAAGCCAGCTACCAAAAAATAAAAGTAAAAATAAAAAATAAAGAGATTTAAAGTTATATGAAAATTATATCAAGTGCCTTTTAATATGAAGCTAACCTTTTGTTAATGGCATATTAATAACATTCCTACAGATTTTTTTTTTTAATTCTCTGGGCCTATTGGCCTAGAAGTTATTATTAATGAGATTGCTATTGTTTGGTTTTGGTTTCTCAAACCTAAGGGGAAAAAATAATCTGTTACTGCTGAATTCATTCATGCATAACCTCCTTTCAATAGTTTATTAAAAATTACTAAGTGCTGAATTCATACCAGGTCATCAGCTGGGTATTAAGTGTATAGCAGGTATTGCTTCCTTGAAAATAAGAATATTTTCACCAAAATATTTTATTTAATAAAGGCCTTTTAAAAATGTAGGCAATAGGCAAGTTAAATCTCATGCTGTATTTCTCAAAGCTTTTTTCTTTTTTCCACTGAGTTTTTATATCCAGAAGTTAGAATTTCAGAACTGGACTCATTTCATAACTGGACTCATTTCAGAACAGGGAGGAATAGTCTGTAGACTTCTTTCTTTAAGAACCATGCTTCATGCTGTATTTCTCAAAGCTTTTTTCTTTTTTCCACTGAGTTTTTATATCCAGAAGTTAGAATTTCAGAACTGGACTCATTTCAGAACTGGACTCATTTCAGAACAGGGAGGAATAGTCTGTAGACTTCTTTCTTTAAGAACCATGCAAGCAAAATCATGTCTGTGATTTTGACAACTTTAGAGTTTTAACTAGAAGATGGAAATTAAAGTTAAAAATAAGAGGCCACACTAGTGAGTTTAAAATACGCTCCAGACAGTCTTTGAATATCTTCCACCTTCATTGCATATTCTTTCAAGTCCTGAATTCTCAGGGCACCATGTACCCCTCTACTGAAAGAAGCTGATGTGAGACAGGATTATGATGCAACTGTCAGAATGTGAAAACACAGGGTTTTTTAAAAAGTTATTATTCATGTACTTTAGATTTAGTCCTCAGATTACAGAACTTTAAATGTCACCTTCAGTTCAAATATAAAGTTCGAGACCACTAACATTTTAAATAGAGAATATATATCATTGAGCAAGAGTCTCCTGAAACATTGTGACAACGTGATGCACTGGGTGGCAATACATTTAGGATTGTTAACATAGAATACTCTACTCGATGCAGACTTATAAAAATACATATTTTACATAAATTATGCTTTTCACAGTAAATTAATATTTATCACATCCCTTGATCTTGGCATAATGTTGTTTTGAAGGAATAGAATTAGATGTGTGCAAATGAATTGTGCTCATCATAAATGTCAACTCGATTTTTTTTTTTCATTTTTTGGGTATTCATATGCACAAAAGTAAATTTCCTTCCCATATTTTATATGGTCTGCTATGGAAAGGAGCCTACTGTTTAATCTACCTGGCCTTTCCTATAACATGCACACCTCGAGCAAGCCACTTTCCCAAGCAGAGAGAAGAAATCTATCCTTCTGTCAATTTTCTCGATGAGAATCTATTTTGAGTGATGAATCCTTGAGAACCTCTGTAAGCACCTGTAGGACAATTTCTCCCACTGCTCACAAAAGGGGGAGTTGATGCTGAGGTAGCTACTGTCTGTTTATAGCTGAAGGTGATAAGCTTTTTGTTATGGCACAGAACGTACCCAAGTGCCACTGCCTACTATGTCCCTTTGAGAGTTACACCTAGGACGGGTTACAAAGATAAAGGATCCCTGTGAACATGAGTTCCATTATGTGTGGAACAAATTCTCTCTATTCCTGAGGGGCCCATTCGATTCAATTTTATACATTTTCCACGGAATTTCACATGTGAACTAACAACCTAAAAGAGCTAACACTCCGAAGGGAAAGAAGATAGATCGCTTGTAATCAGAAAGGACTTTGAGTGTGCCCAATGTCATCTAAGTGAGACACCAGACTACTCCTCAGGTACTCTTTGCCCAAGTGTGCTTCTCTTTCTGTGACAAGAGGCTTCCTAAAGCAGCATAAAAAAGGAAATCCCATAGCACTGTGTCAAGGCACACTCAAATAAGGTTTTTAACACCCAGGCAAAAATGTTAAACTTCTGCACACAGGGGTTCTTGGTAAATTCCACATCTGAATTCAGGGTATCAACTTGGTAACAAGATCATCCGATTTTGAAAATAAGTGCCACAGGCATATCAGGGATCAAGCCCTTAGCTGCATTCTCCGAATGGTCCCTTCATGAAGTTGGTGCTGTCATTTCAACCATCGTGGTCTTTTTCAGAAGCGGAAAGGGGCTATGCTACTAGTGGCAAGATTATAAGTTTAGCAGGGCACACATCCATCCACATTAAATTAAATATACTGAACAATCAAAAAAACAAATATACGTTATCGACCATGAAGGTGTAATTTTCTACATTTTGTCCTGGAAAAAATTGGGGCTTTTACTCTAAATCAGTTAGCAGGTTGGGATGGAGCTTTCACTGTATAATATTCCAGTCTTTAGACAAATCACTTCATCTTAAATGGGACCCTTGTTCTTACCTCTAAACTAATAAAGTGGTTGAAACTTTTATATAAGATTATACGTAGGACAACTTGTTCCCTGTTGGCTAAATCTAGGATGCTCAAAACATACACTGAGCTGAAATACCTCTAAACATACACACCCCCTTCCTGGGGATGGTGAAGATGCTGAAATGGTCAGTCATAAAAGACCATCAGCTGCGTCCTTTCTGTGTGAAACAGATCAATATCATCTTAGCTCATTATTACTCAAAGGGCTTTAATGAAGAAAAAAAAGAAGTTTTAGTAAACTTTTAATTAATTCATTTATTTTTAAGGAATTCAATGCTTAAGAAGNGATGCTCAAAACATACACTGAGCTGAAATACCTCTAAACATACACACCCCCTTCCTGGGGATGGTGAAGATGCTGAAATGGTCAGTCATAAAAGACCATCAGCTGCGTCCTTTCTGTGTGAAACAGATCAATATAATCTTAGCTCATTATTACTCAAAGGGCTTTAATGAAGAAAAAAAAGAAGTTTTAGTAAACTTTTAATTAATTCATTTATTTTTAAGGAATTCAATTCTTAAGAAGAGCATGACCTCCAATATTTGCACCTGTCTACTACTCCATTTCTTTTGCCCCATATATGACATTAAAAGACCCAGGAAGACTGTCCAGTGGATTTCTCCTTAGAAGAAGCATCTTACCTTGCATGAAGAAGGAGCTGGGGAAAGTGCTGGCTGCTGGTTTTGACGAAGGATAGCCTGGCGAGTCCCTATTGTAGTCGGCAGTGCTTGCTGATGGAGCATAGACCTGAGGAAGGAGAACCAATTCAATTTTGCTTTCTGCACTGACCAAAGCATCTCAATGCCCATTATTTTGTACAAAGCAGGTACCAAATGCTAAATTTCTACTCAATCCAGTCTAAATCTGATCAAACCCTAGAAATACTGCCCCTTTCAGAACACAGCAAAACAAAAAATGCTCAGTATATTTGTGTGAGTGGGAAATAACCAGGTATGCTATTTTCCAGTTATAGACAAGAATACTGCAAACCATGTCTAGTTGTAAACATACAACATAATCCTTACAGGGTAAGGGTAGTCCTGGGAGTCTAAGCATCCCTTGTCCCCTTTTTTTTCCTTTAAACACAGACAGTCCATGGTGAAAGGTGAAAACAGAAAGGTATACAACAAGCCTCTTCCAAAAGGTAGTTTTTACTCTATCCTTCCATTAAAAATTTCACTATGAGAGATGAGAGAGAGAGAGAGAGGACATGAATGAACTATCCAGACCACAGAACATGAAATATATTTTGAAATATTAAATTCCCATAGTATCAGCTTTTTGCAGAGATGCATCAAAAAGGCCATTAAAAGCCTGGATCTAGATAAGACCACCAACAATCAGTGTGTGCACAGGAAAGGAGGAGACCTCCTTTTTAGTGCTTGTTATATGTTATATCACCAACAATCAGTGTGTGCACAGGAAAGGAGGAGACCTCCTTTTTAGTGCTTGTTATATGTGCGTGTACAATAAACTTAAAAAGTGTGCCAAAAACCTAATTCACTTACATTTGTTTACTAATACTCATGAGATTTGGGGAAGCAGTTCTTTATAAAAATAGCCTGCATATTTTCTTGTTTATGTTTCCTTTAAACAGGACAGAATAGTAGAAAGGCATAAATTCATAAGGTATAGTTTAACTTTAATTCGTTTCCCCCCTTGCCTTTTCTGCTAAATGTAATTTTTTTTTAATCCCCTTTTTCTTTTTGCTCTAGAAGTTCCTCTCTCCAGATGGTCGGAAAGAATGAAACACTGTCATCCTCTTGATGAAAATGGATACCTTCCTGCCTCCATTTTGAAGCAGGCAGCGGCTCACAAAATTGGCAGTGAGCCTACAGTGATATTCACAGGTCACAGGAAAAGGAAAGGAAATTCACCAATAAAGAGGCAACTGCAGAGTTACCAAAAAATGACTGCCCCACCCCCTTTTTAACCAGCACACAGCGAATAAACACCCGAAGAAAAATTACATAATTGCCCTTAGAACACCATGAATCACAAACTAAGCATTAACACAAGGTTTAGAATTTCACAAAGGATAGGTCCACAGAGACAGATGTGAGAAAATATGCGTACACATCCATACATCAAATAAATGCTACATATGCCCCACAGTGCCCTTGAAAATGGGGAGGTCCTGGAGATTAAACAAAATAAAAACAAACCAGAAGAGTCCACTCACGTTTTAGAAAACAGGGATTTTTCCTAAGTCACAGAGGGATATAAGCCCTATGTTTCATAGGATTTTACTTTGTAATTTTTCTCACATTTTAAATGTATAAACAGTGATTTGCTTCTATTTTCGCAGGGCTTACAATAAGAAAAGCATTTTTTAAAAAAAGTATCTTTAAGGAACAAAGAATAAAACTTAGGCCAGGAATCCAGAAATAAATAAATGTAAGTTCTGTTGACCAAATATCAGTATTTCCTTAAGAACTATAGAACTAACAGTTTGTGAAATACCACTAAATGTATTTAGAAAAGGACTTGAGAATAGGGTAAAAAGATGAAAGAAACATCAACTTCTAGGAAAAGGGGAAACTGAAAATTAAACCATCTCATTTTAATGACAGAACGAACCCAATATGACTATTATATACTCGTATCTACATGCCATTAGCTTCCATCTCATTTTAATGACAGAACGAACCCAATATGACTATTATATACTCGTATCTACATGCCATTAGCTTAACAGCTATTTGGTCCCTCAGCAATAATACAAGCTAAATCTACGTATTACCTCCATATTTCAAAAACCGATGTACATTTACTATAAAACTGAAAATAAACTCTGACCCATATTATTAAATCACCTTATGTTTTAAAACAACTGAAATAAGTTCTTTTATGATAATTCATAGTTTAATTTTAATTACATATTCTACCACATTATCCTTAAACATGTATATTATTATGTCAGCTCATCTTTTTTTTCCCCAATTTGAGTAAATTATTTGACATTTCTTTTGGAAGATAAAGAAAGATCTTTCGTTAATTTTGGTTATTTATAAGGAGGCTACTTTGTGAATTATGATCAAGCTCAAATATTTAAGGGTAGGATCATTTACCCCAAATTCATAAATACTGCCTGCATGGAAAAGAGTATCTACAAGGTTAAAACTTCTTTACGATATATTATACTATGCAATTTATTTTTCTGGTGTTGTAGCCAATTGAATACTCTTGAGATAAGAGGAAAGTCTTTGTTAACAGGTAATGGACTACTGTTTATAGTTTTATAAAAGGCAAATTCTGCATATTTTATAAATTTTCTTTACATTGTAGTTTACAGATCAGGTACAATGTTACTCCCTTTCCATTTATATAACTCATCTTCTGCACTTCAAAAGATAGTTTTTAAGGTAAGCTCTCTATATTTTTGTTTACATAAATATTGTACAGAAGTATACTTTTTAAAAGTAGAAGAAATCCATGAGTTTATTTAGTTTAACCCCCTATATTTTAAATATAAGACAATTCAGTAATGGTATGGTCAAGGCTACTTGCTCAAGATACTTGACAACTACCCATTGCTTTTTATTCTTCACCATTTGATAGGTACTTTCTTTCAAAATGGTGCTGGAGGCATATTAGGAAAACAGCGCTCATAATGTTGGTACTTTGGTTTATCTTTAATAACCTGGATGACCAGTGAGCTGCTTCATTATTTTTACTTCAGTGAACTATTTTGCCAATTTTTCAATCAAAAGACTTCAAAGTGTGGGTTTCAGTAAGGTATTTAATTGCGATATTAAATAACGAAAACATCTATTTAGTTTTAATTACTATTATTCTAGATATATACAAGGATACTTCAAAAATTATAGAGATTACTAACATGATTGTTAAACAAAATAAGCTTTTAATTTAATTAACAGAACCATAACAAACATCCCAGGTCTCTTCAAATAGTTGAAATGGTTTTTAATGACTAACACCAAAAATCAATCCAAACTAAAATGAAATAAAAATTCCAAACTCCAGTACAAGTGACCCCAACAATTAATTTGAGGAAAATCTAATGGGAAACAAAAATCTACACTTACACTTTTCTCCAGTAAGGTGGCTTAGATCAAGGTGACTGTTGGCATTCTGATTTGTCCCACAAGAGTAACAAAAGAAGTGTGAAATTTTTGTTGCCAACTTGGAAATGGGGAAACTTGGCTGAAGCTCACAGGTCACAGCTCTTTTACTGAATTATTTGTTGAGTAAAAGCTTCATGGAAAACTAATTGCACAGTATATTTAATATTCAAAGTTAGCACCATTATCTTTGCTCTTACAATCCCGAATATAAAACAAAATCATATATATAGAAATTGTGAGTTTACCAAAGCTCTCTAACTAACACAAAACCTTGAACTGATAAAAGTAAAAAATGTTTTCATTTTACAGATTTGGTCTTTGTTGTAATTTGAGAAATGTTATTATGGTGCATTACTGTTCCATTCAACGTTCCCAACTATCCTTTCTGCAGTCATCAAAGAAACAACACTGTAAGTTCTTATAAACAGAACCTCTGCCTATTAGAAAAGAAGAAAACCAAGCGAGCACACAAATCAACGATAACAATAACCAAATAAAGGGAGTGTATCTCCTACCTTTTCCCTCTGGATGCTTTGGTTTTTATTGGTCATGGCATACCAATCTCACGGAGATTAAAAAATAACAAAAATTACCATTTGCTTAGGGCCTCTCGTGGAATACCTTTTGTGGCAGGAGTTCCACGTACATTATTCCTAATCTTCATAATGATCACACAGGTGAATAATATTATCATTCCTGTTTCCCAAAGATGAAGTATCATAGAGGTCAAATGTATTGGCCCAAACCAGCCAGGGTCTGACAGCGAGTTCCACCACTTACTAGCTAGGCAACCTTGGACCTGTCATCACTTCTAACCTCTCTGGTCTTCTGATTCCTTCCTATAGAATGGGAATGACAATGTCCAAATGCAAAGTTCTTGTGAGAATTAAATGATTTAATGTGTATAAAGCAACTAGAATGGTACCTGGCACATAGTGAGTAGGCAAAAACCAGGCATCAGCGCTAATGTCATGCTGCTCTTGTTTTTATCATCTCGACAGATGTGATTCAGGAAGGTTAAGCCACTTCTCCACATTAAAAATTGTCCCAGTGTAAAGCAAGGATTTGAAGAGTTCATCAAAGTCTATGCTCTTTCCATTAAAAAAAAAATTCTTTTCTCTTAAAAGGTCAAAAAGTAAAGACATTTTTCACTATCAACATGAGGCTATATATTGGTCATAGTTTATAGAAACAGTCTTGTGGGGTCTTATAATTACCTTTTAAGAAAATAAAACATCATAAGGCATGTTTATGGTGAAGCCACATATATGTTAAGTAACCTGCTTCTTGAAGTGGAAAGCTTACCTCCGAGAGATTACAGAGAAGTGGCTTCAGATCACATATCATGAGTGTCACTATGTGGGGTTGGGTGATAGCCACTGGACTGTATGGGAGAACTTTACCTTTGTGATTCTGTAAGTACCATCTAAATATATGATTTCCAAAGAGAAACAGTTCAGAATAACTGAAACATTGCAATTGAGGCTTTCAGACCCTTAAAGAGAGCTGCTGTATGATCCGTGATGAGCAGAAAATAGCCAAGCACGATTATGCCACAGACAGCCAAGAGCTGGCTAGGCTCACCCAGGACCTCAGACCTTGGGAAATTTCACAAACATTCTCAACTGTGTCTGTTAAACACTCAAATACTGAGAGTTC